GATCCGTGAGCCGTGGGGTGTGGAAGTGCAGAGGCCATTTTGTCTCACTGGGAGGGAGCAGGACACAAAGATAAGAGGCCCCCTCTCACCGCCACCTTGCTGCTGGACACTAAACCCTGGTACTGCCAGAGTCCCTGTGCCCCGGACTTCCTACTGTCCTTTCTGCACTTGGCTCAGTTTTGTTTGGCTTTTTGTTTGTTTGCTTGTTTGTTTGGTGCGGGAGGAAACTCTCAAGCACTGCCCAGGGAACTGGGCGGGGTGGGGGGGGTCACTCCTGGTGATAGTTGGCCAGTCCACTCAATGCTCAGGCAGAGGATGCAGTACTGGTAGGGTCCCTTCCCAGTGTCTTCCCAGTTCCACTTGGCTTCGTTTTTTTCTTTTTCTAAAGAACCTCATTAATCAGATTCTGTCCTGAAAAGATTTGAAATATATAAACATTTCTTTTTTTTTTTATGTCCTTGTTTCTTGTTTCCTCCTACGGCCAGAACGATGCAATGCCATGTTTGGGCTACAACGCAGAGGCAAAGAGAGGGCCAGGGTCTAGCATTTGATCTCCAAAAGAAGCCCCCAAAAGCTTACTTACTCTCAGAGCCAACTGAGAATAACGTGAATTCTAAAACTTTCCTCCACATTTTTTTTTTCAGAGCAGATTCTGTTTAGGAGGAAATTAAGCAACAACAACAAAAAGCCAACAAGGAAATAGAATGAAGAAGAATTTATTCATAGAAACAGACTTAAGAGAGAATTTTTAAAAATCTGGTATTTAGGACTGTGAGGTGGCTTAAAGGGCTGCATCATATGTCTGACATGCTTGAGGCCCTGGGTTCAGTCCTGGGAAAATATGCCTGATTCATCCCCACCCCTCTGCCCCTAGCACTGCCAGGCACATGCTGGAGCTCCTGGCACTGATGAAACAGAGCAGCACTTCGCTCTCATGAGGAGCACAACTTGGGAAGCCCCCTTCACTCAAAATCTGGTAAATCAATAGATAAGTGTCTCAACTCCCTCAAGCTGCAATAAAAATAAAAACTACACATTGGCTTTTGCTAGAATTCAATGCGATATATATATATACACATATATATACTTATATATATCCTTTTTGGGTCACATCTGGCGATGCACAGGGGTTACTCTTGACTCTGCACTCAGGAATTATTTCTGGCGATGCTCGGAGGACCATATGGAATGCTGGCAATCAAACCCAGGTTGGCCGCGTACAAGGCAAATGCCCTACCCTCTGTGCTATTGCTCCAGCCCCAGTGGGCAACATTTTTATAACCAAACATGATGGTCTCTCAGTATCTGGATTGTAAATCATAATGCTCCAAAGTAGAGAGAGAATAAGAAGAAAAGTGCCTACCATAGAGACAGAGAGTGGGGTGAGATGGAGATGTTGGGAGGGATACTGGGGACATTGGTGGTGGGAAATGTACACTGGTGGAGGGATGGGTGTTAACCATTGTATGACTGAAACTCAATCATGAAAGCTTTGCAACTGCATCTCAGAATAATTCAATAAAAAAAAGATGAAAGTGAAGCTATTTACAGTGGAAATTTGCTGTAAGAATAAATATCAAGATTTGATAAAATAGGGGGAGAAAAGAAAGATTACATAGTATCCGATTATATTCAATTTTTACAAATTTCTTTAAAATGTACATAAAGATGCTCAAAATCAATACAGAGGTGTCAGAGAGGTAAAATATTCTACTGCAAATAAAGACATGAACTTGAAAAAAATAAATAAAATGCTTAGAATAGTGTCCGCCATAGCACAAATACATCCACTACACTTGTTAGTGTTGCTGTCTATCTATTGTCAGCTGTGTTGCCTTTTTCGGCTGCTACCTCACACTGAGAGAAGGCGTAGAGATGGCATTGCTTGAGAGCACAGCAAAGTGGGCAAGGGCAGAATCAGGAAGATAGTCCAGCTCCTCCACATTGGGGAGGGTCCCCTCAGGAATAAAGATGCTGAGAGACAGATGGTCTACCTTAGAAAGCAGGTGAAGCTGAAGAGACAGTACAGTGAATAAGGAACTTGCTTGCACATAGATGACCCAGATTCAATCTCCGGCATCCAGAGCATGGCCATGAGTAAGCCCTGAGCGCAAAGATAGAAGTAAGCTCTGAGCACTGCTGGGTTTGGCCAAAAGACAAAGCAAAACAAAAGCCAAAAAAACAAAAAGCATCTGATGGCAGAACTTGAGAATCTTATGGAAACTGAACGCAACTGATGTTTCTGTACAACTCTCTTCTTAGAGAGACAGGTTGGCTTAGGTTGCTAAGGAACCCTACCCTTAGCAGACTATCAGGATGTGAGGGCAAAGATGGCAGCCTACAGCTCCTACCTGACAAAATGTTCACCATGTCTTTAGAGAATTCTATTCCTCTCTAGTGGTGGCTCTGCACAGAAGGAAGTTGCATGGAGAACTCATTATTTAATTAATAGGAAGTCCATATGATGGTTATAGAAGGTTTTTAGAACCTGGCAAGCTACCGGGAGTATTCAATATGCCAAACACAGTAACAAGAAGTCTCACAATGGAGACGTTACTGGGCCCGCTCGAGCAAATTGATGAACAATGGGAGGACAGACACAGACAGTGTACTTTTTGATGAAGTCCTGAAGCTAGTGACTTTAAGAATCACCAGTGCAATGAAGGAAGAAACAAGTCAAAGACATAATGTCCTTGGCATCATCTCCTGGGATCCCTGTGGTGTGTGGACTCATTCCTAATTATAGATTAAAAAAACACTGAGATACAAGGATGCTAAGTACCTTGCCCACACATCTTTATTTGGCATCTGTCAAAGTAGCATTAGAACTATTGGATCCACCCCATAGCCTACATTCCCCCCCCCAACCCCACCACGCTCCTATTTCAGTAGTGAGAATGTTAATGGTGCTTAACTTGTAACCCAGACTTCCTATCATTTCACTTTCGGTTCCCTTCTTTTTTTTCATCCTCAACTTGAGCCTCATCCTTGGTGGATGCCATCATTCAAAGAGGGGCCAAAAGTGCACAACATTGAATATATGTCAGAATAATGTGAATGTTATGGAACAGAATGTGAAGAACAAATTAAATGAGTAAACCTCTAATGGCCTAATTTCTGCCCCCCCCCCATTTACACTTCTTGCCAGCATTGTGTAGAGAAGAGAAATCTTTACCAGCAGTGCACAGAATGCTTTTCAGATGCAAAAAAAGTAGAAGTGGAAATATGTTTTTGATTGAGGATTAGTAAGATGGCTAGTTGAACTGTCAAGCATACAGTACTTTAATCATAAAGGCATAATTCAGATACTTTTTTTTTGCAAGAAAGCATGAGTAACACTATTCACACAAAGTGTTTCTAAAATTACTTTTTAAACTTGGTTCGACACCACCTGATATTTCTAAAACTGAATGTTTTGTTGATTTGAAGAAATAAGTTATGAAAATAAGTCCTTGTGAAGCAGAAACATAATTCATATTTTGGTGGCGGAGGCAGTTTGTTGCACTCAGTGATTCTCAGGGCTTATTTACTATTTACTGGCTGTGTGTTCAGGGATCACTCCTGGTAGTGTTCAGAGGAACATATGTGGCCAGAGATTGAATCAGTGCTAGCCACATGTCAGGCAAAAACTTGAACTCCTGCATCTCTCTGGCTCAGGGATTCATATTTTAGTTCCCTTATCTTGTATTTCCATAGGCGAATCAAGCCCTATTGGCATGCAGAGCCCAAAGGCACTCAAAGTACCCAGTGGCCAGGTTCTCAGTCACAAGCTGGGAGAAAGCAGAGTCAGATTTGGCTGGTCTCACTGAGAAACCTCAGGGTAGCAGCTGGAGTTAGAACTCAAGGGGTAATATTAGGAGGTGGTTCACTCAGACTTCACCTGACTGCCAGATGTCAAGAGCTCCATAGCTCCTCCATGGTTTCATGGGTCAAGGCCCCATCAGGGCATTTTTTTTTCTGAATGGACTCTCAAAAATTCCGGGGCTTGAATAAAGATGGGATTACAAGATGTTCCCACAGCAATCCCTGTGAGAGCTTTGGCATTTGTATCAACTTCAGCAGAATGGAATGGGACAACGGCAATCTATGAGGGTGATGCTGGGGCTTCCCCAAAGGAAACTGAGAAAGGTTAAGAGCCAGGGGAAGGCAGGAAGATTACTTGTTTGCTTCAGGTACTATGAAAATACCAGTAGATTGATGACTAATGGAGCCTTGCACTTTAGGGAATCTTGGGGGATTATTGTAGAAACTGGCTACAAGACCCTAATGGGGAGCACTGATGCTCTATAATTTTCTTGGGGTAAACTGGCCACAGATGGAACCACTCTAGCCTACAGAGTCTTCTTTTGGTCATTGGGAAGTCTCTTTGGGATTTCTTGATAGCAGTGATTATATGTGGATTTTGATAATAGTGGGTTGGCGTGCGTTTAGTGAAAACAAGTGGGTCGATGAGCAAACGTGAATGGGAAAAGGTATTCGCTGTGGACTCCACCTGGGAGTATAGGGGCAGGTGCAAAGATCTTTGTTTTCAAAGACCCAAAACCTCAGTGGGAAAGGATAAACATCTCTATCAGCTGGGGACCAGGAGTCATTTGTCTTTGCCTTGAAGGCTTTTTTTCTCCACATATCAACAACATGGGGTGGTTTTGTTTGATTAAATTTGAACACCTCTTTCATTTAACTCATGTGCATCTAAAAATAACTCACAAGATCATCCAGAAATAGCCAATGAATTTCTTAATTCAGCAATACCCAGGACACGTAAGTGCTGCCCAGAGAGTTGCTTAGCATTGGAAAAACACTTGATAAAGAAGAGTAGGCAGTGGGTGTTGGTTACATGTTGCAGAGGAAGAATTGGAAGCAATATCAAATAACTCAACTCACCAAGGTCAATTCAAATGGTGCTCAAAGTTAAGATAATGTCAGATTATTAGATATTATTTTAAGTCCACATGCACACAGTTAGAAGCTGAATATAGAGGAATGATAAAGCAACACACCCAACTGGTAGGTGTTTTCCATCTGAACTGTAAGAAGAGAGACATCATGGCGCTGGTGAGGTTCATCCGAATGAGACACAACACTCACAGAGCTAAAAAGAAGGGAGAATACACATTTCAATCATACTTAGAACAATAAGAACACAATGCCACAATATTATTCTCTGAAAACTATTCCAACAGTTAAGTTTGCTTTGAGAAAATGTCAAACAACCCCCGCCCAAACATCCAACTGATATAGTTCAAGTTTAAAATATTTTAGAGTTGGAAACTTGAAGAAATATAGGGAACCCAGCAGAAATAACTTGCAAGCAGGTCTCAGTGTTCAAAGTGGTGGAAGCCCAGTGCCGTGCCTGGGCTGCTAGTCAGGAAAATGTGCCTGGATCCATTGACCCATGCACAGGGTGACCAGAGCACAGGTTTCAAAAGCACCGGACAGATGCATCCTTACTACAGATGGAAAGACTCTTCTTAACATGGGCAGGCAATAGCATAAAAGGGACTGAGAAATTTGGGAGGAAGCATAAAATATTGGGAAATGATATTGTATATTCATGGGGTATGAGAGTTCCCTGTACCTTAAAAATCTCCTTAGTTAAAAAAAAACAACCCAGAAATTTAAACTCATCTGCATGGCAAGAGAAACCACAATTTACCCAGCAATTGTAAATCAATAAACATCAACCACCCTTTTCAACCTTAAGAACAGGTTTGGGCTTGATTACCCAGGTAATATGAGCATATCCAGGTGCTGAATGGGAGACCCAAGCAAGCAGGAGACCCTAAGCCCCTTTACCGCTACTTATTTCAATTAATTTAGAGGAAATTTAATGTCATAATGGCAGTCTCAAAGCTCCCCACCGCCAATCTCCCACCTGTGAAAGTAGAGGTTAAGACAGATGTTGTTTCAAAGGAAATGAGATGTGAGTGTGTGTGTGTGTGTGTGTGTGTGTGTGTGCGTGCACACACACGCATGCACGCATTTGCATGTACGGGTCCACACATGCCCTCAGAGCCTTCAGACTCAGATTTGTTCTTAACCTTTTGAGATATTTTTCTCCCTTCTCTGCCAAGAGTTTAAAATACTTAAATACTTCATTCTCAGCTGTTTGGAATTAGCTTCTTGCAAATTGATATTCAAAGAAAATCACGGATCATCTATTTTTTTTTTAAACAAACCCTTTCACACAATACAATGGGCCTAATAAACTAAAGTTTACCCACTGGGCCCAAGAGAATGATGTAAGAAACTATGGTGGCTTTTTCACGATGGTTTTCTGGATTAGTGACTCGGTCTTCATTCTTGGAACACCTGCTTTCTTCAATTTTCGCTTGCCCTTTGAAGTAGCAACTAACCTGTTTAGCCACATTAGCTGCAGGTGTTGTGGGCAGTGCCAAAGATGAGAGATTTAGCTTAGAAAACCCAATGTTGCATAAGCCCCTTGATTCTAAGATAAGCTGGTGTGCCTCTCTACTTTTAACTGCAGAGCATTTCCCGTCTATGTTTTCAGTCTTGTGGCATAATAGGCTATTAAATAAGGAAAAAAAGGTCATCATTCCACCCATTCCAGAGAAATGGGAAATAAAGGGAATAAAGCAAAGTGATTACTATTATATGCATAGGAAAGGCAGACTTAAGATACTAAACACCCTATTTATCTCCAAGAACCAAGTCCCACATACAATCATATCTGACAGATGGAAACGGGGTAATGACTACTTGAAATACTCTAATATAGGATAAAATGTTCCTGCACAGATATGCAGAAGATATTATTAAAACCCAGACTCTTTTCTGCTGCTGTTGAAAAATCACCAGTAAAGAAGCAGAGACAGTACAAAACTGATTCAACTACAATAAAAGTCTAAGGCAAAAAAGTCTTAAGGATCCCAGAAAGCTAGTTCAAAGGCTGGAACACATGCTCAGCAGGCATGAGGCTCACGTTTGATACCTAACATTGCCTGGTTCCACCCCAGTACCACCAGGTTTAGCCTCTGAGTATTTCTAGCATGTCCCCTTTCCTCCTTGAAAGCCTAAAGGCCTTTACAATCAATCTTCCCTATCTCTTTGTTTCATGTTATTGACAAATTGATAATCAATCCAGTTTAATATTATCAATATGAAATTGATAAATGTCACAAGGCAGCTTTATGAAGCTTGCTAAAGATTGGTGTGCAAACGGAAAGCTTTGCAAACTGACTATTTTCGATTTACAGAAGATAATTTTTGTTCATATAATTTATTTTACCTTTCTAATTTCATAGTAATCATGTAAATAGTATATGCTGATTGTAAAATGTTCATGTCATACAGAAAAATAGAAATGATATAGTAAAATAATGGGTTGGAGTGATAGCACAGTGGGTAGGGTGTTTGCCTTGCACACGGCTGACCCGGGTTCGATTCCTCCGTCCCTCTCGAAGAGCCTGGCAAGCTACTGAGAGTATCCTACCCTCACGGCAGAGCCTGGCAAGCTCCCTGTGGCGTATTTGATATGCCAAAAACTGTAACAAGTTTCACAATGAAGACATTACTGGTGCCCGCTTGAGCAAATTGATTAACAATGGAAGGACAGTGCTACAGTAAAATCACACCAAAAATGACTAATCTTGAAGTTATTCAGCAACTGAAGTCATTTAAAAATGTAGTGTTATTCTATGCATGGATTTGCAAAATAGATGCTTAGTTTTTTTTCCACTCAAAAATGTATCATTTTCAGACCACCTGAAAATGATAGGGGTTAAACACTCACCTGGCATGTAGCCAAACTCAGTTTGATTTCTGCCTCTCCAAGCTATAGCCAGGAGTGATCCCTCAGTACCTCAGGCTGTGGCCCAAACTACTCCATCTCCCCAAATGTGTCATTTTTTTGAGTGGAAAAATAGTAATCTACATTAATATGTTAAATATGAAGATAGTAGCATACGAATATACTTCATTTTATTTAACCATTATTCTCCGGGTCAGTTGATTGTTTTCAGTATATCCATTATATTTTTTTTGGGGGGGGGTGAACTTGGGCCTCACCAGGTGCTGCTCAGGGCTTAATCCTGCTTTTGTGCTCAGGGTTGAACTCCTGATGATGCTCAGGGGACCATATGCGGTGCAGGAACTGAACTGGTCACATGCAAGGCAAGCCTTCAACCCTTGCTCTGTTTTCAGCCCTCCAACTCTTTCACTGTTATAAGGAAATGGTGTTTATTTACTGTAATCAAAATTGTGGCAGAGACTGTCACGAGCTTTTCAGCATTGTTCTTTTCTTTCTGGTAACAGAATCCTAAATTTGTGGGAATATTTAATTCCAAATTAAAGACAAATCAAATATTAAATATCTTTGGTGCTCTCTGACTCTGTGGCTTTATGAACCAGTGAAATGGAAGTGGAAGTTTTACATGTGAATTCAGAAAGAACTTCCTTGAAAAAAATCTAGAAGCCCGTTTACATATGTCCTTCTTGAAGAGTGGATTGAGACTAAGGCAAATTTGATGGCAAGAGTCTAATAATTCTCTTGGGTCTTGCTCCGGATCACCTAAAATTACAGATCATGGAAGGCTAGGTCCTTGAGCTATTTTCCGATTCTTCTAAATAAGAGAAAAATAGAATTTCGGGCCAGAGCAATAGTACAGTGGGTAGGGCGTTTGCCTTGCACATTGCTGACTCAGGTTCAATCCCAGCATCCCATATGGTACCCCATGAACCACCACCAGTAATTCCTGAGTGCAGATCCAGGAGTAACCCCTAGGTATCGCTGGGTGTGACCCAAAAAGAAAACAAAAGAAAAATAGAATTCTCTTTTGTTAAATTACCATTGAAAATAATTGCTATTACAGGGTTGAGAATATGGTTAAGTTGGAGAACATTACCTGCATGTGTGGGACCCTGGGTTTGGTTTCTGGCACCACATGGTCCTCCGAAGACCACCAGGAGCAACCCCTGAGCACTGAATCAGGAGTAGTTCTCAAACACTGTTAGGGTAAAGCATCAGAACCCCCTAAAAATCACATAAGAAGCACATAGAACTGATAAAAATCTAACTCTGTTTGCCTCCTGAAAATGGGGTGCTGTATGTAACAGCGCATGGAACTTGGAGATGATTCTGTGGGAAGGATAAGGACTTGGAGAGTCGGTGTCAGATATTTGTTGGAAACATAGTATCCTTTATCACACAAAAGGGAAATATTTGTTGAGAGTGATACTTTCTTGAAAGGTTGATCACGTACTGGCTAAGACCATAACTTCATGGACACTTATACAAACATTTTCTATTTCTTTTTTTAAAAGTTTTTTTGGTATTAAGGAAAAAATGATTTTTAATGGTGGTTAGTGTTTATGCCTTTGTTCTATAAAGTTCCTGCATATTCATCACCACTAACCTGTCTAAGACCCCCCCCCCCATCGTCCTTATGTCACCTCTAATTCACCCCATTGTTCTACCCTTCTAAAACTCCCCAGCCCTTGGAAACCACAGTTCTGTTTGTTGTCAGACTTCAAGGGTTTGTTTTCATTGGCTAATGACCTACTCAGCTTTTTTTAATATACCACAAGAATGAGATCATCTGGTATTTATTGTTCTCCCTCTAACTTATTATCCTTAACATTATACACTTTAATTTCATTCAAATTCTAGCAAAGGGCAGGATTTCATGTTTTTCTCTTGTCTAAGTAGTATTCCATTGTGTATACCAGTTTGTTTGTTTTAATCCATACATCTGTTTTTGGGCATTTGGGCTGTTTTTAAATTTTGACTATTGTAAATAGAAAAACAATGAACATAGCACATATCTTTTAAAATTAATATTTTTATGTTCTTGGAATAGATGACAAGGAACAGGATTACTGAGTCATTTTAAGGTACAACATTTCAAAAATCTTTAAAAAAACTCCTTTTGGATAATGTTTTTTAAACTGAGGTGTAGTTGACATATGACATGAAATTGATATCACAAATATAAAGATATATTTGTATAGATTGCAAAATGACCACCTCAATAAGTCTAACATATATCTAACAAGTTAACATGCGTCTCCATACCAAGTCATAAGCCTTTTTTCCCCTTGTGATAAAAACTTTTAAATTCTAGTCTTTCAGCAACTTTGAAAATATGTAACACAGTATTATTATTATTATTATTATTATTATTACTATTTTGCTTTTTGGTTTACACCTGGTGATGCACAGGGGTTACTCCTGGCTCAGAAATTACTCCTGGCAGTGCTCAGGGGGCCATATGGGACGCAGGGAATCGAAACCGAGTCAGCCGCGTGCAAGGCAAACGCCCTACCTGCTGTGCTATCACTCCAGCCCCAATAACACAGCATTATTACAGCCCTGCTGGGGAGCTACTTCCAAGTCAGTGTTGGTGGTCACTTTTCATGCTCAGATACCACGCTGTGCTAGTGATGGAAAGAACCCAGGACTCTCACGTGGTAAATTTTTAGAAGTAAAAAACAAATCTTACATTTTAAATTTGGGGTTGACCAAATGAGTTCAGAAAACAAGCTTAGGAAAAAATTGTCCTTATTTCCCCATGAATAAAAAAGGCTATCCAAATCTTTAAGAAAAAAATGTAAAGATAGAAATGAGAGTTTTGGGACCTGGGGATTGATTCCACGGTAGGGAATCTGCCTTGTATGTACGAGGCCCTGAGTCTGATTCCTGGCTCTTCTCCACAGTGCGTGCTTATCACTGTGACCTCTGCTTCTGGTGAGAGCACTTCAAGCAGATGTGTGCACCCTGAACATGGTAGCAATAGCAAAATGAAGGGAAGAAAAGAAAAAAAAACCATGAGAGGTGCAAAAATTAAATTTATGGTTCTAATTACCAGGGTTATATACACAGCATAATAAATTAATTGGGTGTCTGTCACAGGGAATGAATTTCTGTTGTCTCTGACTATGTTTTCCTAAGTTCTAATGGTAATCTGCCTAGATGCATGATCTTATTACAAAGAGAATGCTGTAGTTGATTTAATTTTGTACAAGTGAAAAATGTTTCTGCTGTCTATGAATTTCATCGGCTTATCATTGTTGATAGGGAGAAGAGATTACTATGGGCAAAACACATTCAAGAGAGGGATTGAGTTTTAGAAAGGAAGTCAGAGAAAAGGTAAATGCAGAAAAGAAAATCAAAATCTGGCATCAACTAGTAGTAAACACAAACAAATAAATGAATATATTTTGGAAAGTTTAGTCAATTCTTGGACTCATAGGCACTGTTGCTGAGGTCACAGTTGGAATGAACCTGGATATAGAAGTAACATGCATAAAATTGGTCCATAAGAACAAAGTTTCAAAACTCCTATCTTGTACTTGATTGACAGTGTTAATGTCTTATAATAATCCAATGGTATGCATTCTGGCCATGGTCATGCCAAAAATAAATAAATAGAAGGAAAGAAACAAAGAAAATTAAAAAATCAATTATGAAGTTGGAAGAAGCTAATTTCCCCATAAAACTCCATTTTCTTAAAAACAGCATATAGCTCTGGAAAGAAAGATGGCGGCCGCACGGGAGCCTTGTGGAAAGCAGGTTTGAGCCGGGCTCGGGGGAGCGGCGGGGACCTCATGGGAAGGGGGGCTTTGTGGGCCGTCCCCCACGCCCCACCGAGGTCGCCAGCTGCTCCCCACGAGCGGCTCTCCGGCACGGCCACGGCCCCGGAGGCACAAGGACTTAGCACAGAGAACCAGCCGCTTGGAGCAGAAAAGCAAATGGACTTGTGTTGAACCGCGCCACCAAGCCCGCCCGGAGGGGAAAGGGCGTTGACCAGCCCGCCCGCTCCTCTCTGGAAAGAAAGATGGCGGCTGCACGGGAGCCTTGTGGAAAGCAGGTTTGAGCCGGGCTCGGGGGAGCGGCGGGGACCTCATGGGAAGGGGGGCTTTGTGGGCCGTCCCCCACGCCCCACCAAGGTCGCCAGCTGCCCCCCACGAGCGGCTCTCCAGCACAGCCACGACTCCAGGGCACAGAAACCAATCTCTTAACTAGCTATCTTGTAATAGAAATTCTTCCAGGGTCAATAAGTAAAATAGCAGAAATTCAAAACCGCGCGGCCGCTATTGCGGCCGCGCGACATCATTCTATTCTTAAACCAAGTTGTAGAAAGCAAATCATTTCACAACGCTGTTTCAGCATGTCTGATTGTGGGGGGTGGGTCGTAAACTCTAAACAATAATTGTGCATCTTCTATCGAAATAATCTATCTAGTCAAAGTAGATAGAGTATTAACTAGAACTCATCTGCCTCACAAGAATTGGGAGGGGTGGGAGGTGGGGGTCTATTGGGGTTCGGGGTTAAAAATGAGTATTGG